GGGGCCATTCCATATCCCTGTGGTTTACATTTTGTCTGGCAACCTTTCAGAGGTTTGAAGAAGCTACCGTGCTTCCATAACAGTAGTTTTGATTTTTCTTTTGCTTTTCTCCAGGGCAAATTTACCTAATTCTATCAGTTGTTCTTCTGAGGACATAGTCTCCATACCCCTCAACAGTCCAGTTCCCCCTTTTGGGCAGTGTTCCTTTTGTCAGCATCTCTATTAAACGTGGCCGTCAGAGTTGGACGGGGGATTCCTGAGTGTTCCTCCCGTGAGCCTGTGAACATGACATGCACAACACTGTCGCTTCCCGGGCTTGGCACAGGAAACTTCTCTTTACTCTCTTTTGCTTTCTGCCTGTCCCTCTCTCAGATATTTAGAGCAGTGATTCTAAAACATCTTGGTCTTAGATCTCTTTGCTCTCAAAAATATTGTTGAGGATTACAAATAGATTTTGTGTTTGTAGATGGTATCTACTGATATGTACCATATGAGAAATGAAAACAGTAGTTTTGAAAATCTTGACTTATTAATCATTCAAAAGTAAACCCATTACATGTTAACATAATTAACATATCTTTATGAAAGATTTTCAAAGTAAAAAAATAATATGGGGAAAATGGCATCGTGTTATATCTTCGCAGATCTTTTTAACTTCTGGCTTAATGGAAGATAACTTGATTCTCATCCAATTTTGCATTTAATTGCAGTGTTGCAATGTGTGTTTTGTTGAAAGATATAAATAAATCTTGGCCTTGCTCAGGGGCATAGTTGGAAAGTGGAGGAATATTTTAATGGTCTTTCAGATAATTGTGGATATTCTTTGACATTACGCTAAAACTTGACAAGTGGTAGTTTCTAAAAGCTTAGTTGCAGTGTAGAATCTAGAGGCCTATCAATGAAAATTTCATATTTTACTACATAGACTCCATTGGTCTAACTTACACTTTATTTAAGTGGATCTTGTACCCATGCCTGGTTTTGTAACTTTATGCATTGGTTGTCAGGGGAAATAGTAGTTCACTGAATTATGCTGATCTTCTAAACGTTGACACATTTCATTCTATCAAACCCCAAATAATCACATTCATTAGTATACCCATCAATCTTTAAGTATCAGGGAACTGACAAGCTCATGGGGGCAGATATAAATCTTTCAAAATTCACTTGAACCTTGAATATTATCATTGGCAACAAACATTTCTAGTGATTTTCCTTAGAATAGCAGTCTCACTTCATTTATTTTTTGAAAAAATGTCTACCAAATAGCCGCATCTGAATAACATAGCTTGTTGGTCAAGTCAGCCATTGTTTCAAGAGAAAATGTGTTTTCATGACAAAGGTGGCTTATTCCTATTGCAAACCCACAGCTGTCGGCGTGATTTTCCTTCAGACAACAATCATGCTGCGGGGCCCCATGGAAGTACTTGATGCCTGTCTGGACTTTGTCACACAGAACATTAGCAAGAAGTACACTCAAGGGTCTAGAGTTAATAGAATTAATGATGTTTACTGCTTAATAAAACACAGTGTTAAGTGAAAACTAACTTTCTTTCTTTCTTTCCAGTAGGTTCTGCATACGGTGAAGAGTGCCATGATGAATCACACAGTTGGGATCCACCATCTGGATCCATGCTGAGGCTCAGGCAATTGGACCCCCCCCAACCATGGATGTGAATGTGAAAAAGACAATGCAGTAGCTTGCAGCTAGTTTTGGCTTTATGGACCCCTTGAAAGGATCTTGAGGACTTCCACAGGTCTGTGGACACACCTTGAGAACACAACTTGAGAACCCTTTCCTAATGGACTACCAGTTCCATTTAGTTATGTTGAGTCTTACACTGATCCCATCAATGGTGGCTGGGCTGTCACCAACAGCTTGGGGGTTTTCAAGAATATAACACTAATGGTAACAGGAACTAACATATCTTAGGTGCTGCTTTATATGCTCTTCACACATTAAAGGACAGCAGTCCTTGAGGTACATTCTGCTTTATCCCACATTCAGATGAGGAAACAGAGGATCAGAGAGGTAAGTTCACTTGCTGAAGAACACACAGCAGGGAAGTGGGAGAGCCAACATGAAACTCCCGTCAGTCTGACTCCAGAGCCCATGCTCTGAACCGCTTTGTTATTGCTGGAGCGGTTAACAGGATGGGCAAAGTGAAGAAACAACACGTCAGAGGGGCAGGAGGTCAGAGTAGTGACTGTGAATCTTGGACCCAAGAGTTTAAGTAGCGATTCAAAGGTTTCCTCCAAATCTATTTTCCCATCTGATTCTCACAAAGGCCCTCTGAGTTGGCTGGTGAGAGTTCTTATTTCCATTCTATAGGTGAGGAAGCTGACTCTTTCTAGAGGAGAACGATCCCTTTGTAGCCCCAGAGCCATATAACTGGGCGAGCTCCACCTACTCACCCAATGCCAAGGACCCAAGGCCCTTTTTGGCAGCTTTTCCCCTTTGGGGTGTCCTGTGCTGTCACATGCCTTGAAGGGAACTTGGCAGAACAGGCAGTGGTGCCTTTGCTTCTAGAGAGAGAGAGAGGAAGGGCGGGCCCATTGGCCCTGGTGCCATAAGGGAAAGTGAGCTGAGGTCCAGGCACCGGTCTGACTGACCAGCAGTGAGAGCGCGCCCTCCTCACCTTGGGGTCTGTGACAGAGACTCGAATGTGTTCCCCATTTGGGGGTGGGGGCTATGCAATTTACACGAAACCAGAAACAGTTTATCTGCCAACCGCAGAGGCGGCCCGGAAGGGTGGGGGGAGAAAACAGGCTGGAAATATACACTGACGTTTTGGAGGCCTCTGACAAGGAGGTTCGAAGATACAGAGAGAAAGTTGCCCAAATGTAGCCCAGATCTCCCTGTCTGTAGGAGAAACTGAGTCCCACAGAGAAGAAGGAACTTGCCAAAAGTCACATAGTCCGTGAAAAAGCCATGCTGCGGCCCCTCCCCCCCACCAGCCCTCTGGTGATTTGCACCACTCTCTGAAAAGAGACCCGTATTGAGAGAAATAAAAGCGAGGGCCTCCCTGGTGCCTTCCTCACCTGTCTCGGAGCAAACAGAGGTGACAGTGGTAGCCAAGGGTGCTTTGCAAGGAGAAGATCAAGCTCTGGGGAGCCATGCCCGTTCTCCCAAACTCTTGCAAACAGGGGCTGAGTACTGGGATGGAATTTCTTTGGTTTCTCAGGACTTTTCCCTGGGTTCGTGATAGTGTGCTTCTGCATACCGCTACAGGGGTATAAATTCCAAGTGGGCTTTCTGCGTGGCTCACTCTGAGATTCTTTCCCTTTCAATGAGTTGCTTTTGCCTTTGTTCTTTTGTTTATACTCCCTAGACAATCAACAGTTCCTGAAAGTTTAACAGGCCTCTTGGATGCGGAAGAGGGGAAATTTCAGGACAGTTCCTGAGCGTCCAAGCCTTCAAAGCCCCATGCAAGGCCAAGCCAGCAAACAGCCTCCAGGATAAAGTCTGGGCGGGGGGGGAGGGGGGGGGATCTTTTCTGAGTCAGGGTCCACTGCAGATGGAATGCTTGTTCTCAACTCAGCATTCTCGCTGGTCTCCCTGCCCCAGGGCAATGCCCCCACAGCCTTCCATAGGAGGCTCCGTGTAGGGAAATCTTTCCAGAAATAAGGGGAAAATGGCCTGGTGCCCCAGCTTCTTTCCTCATTAATAGGCTGAGTTTGGAATTTTAACAATTAGGAATTAATTCTTCAACTTCAGGTTCTGTTCCCCAGGACAAAAGGCAGCATTATATTGTAAGACCTCCGCCTCCTCCCTCCTGACAATACATAAGTGGGGGAGTGAGACAATCTAGAAGGTGATGTCAGGCTGTGTGGGGGAGCAACAGGGCAGGTGAAGGGCCTAGAGCATGGCAGGAGGGTGGTTTAGATGGGTAATTAGGGATGGGCTTAGTCAGGACTAGGGTGGGTGGAGAGGATGGGGGATTCATCACCAAATGATTCAGGTCATTTCATTTGACCTGAATGAAAGTAAGACACCTGAAGGAAGCAACAGAATGTGCCCTGAAGCCATCTGGGGAAGACACCTCTACTTGCCAGAATGGTCACCCCAAAAATGCCTTCCACCCCTGGATCGCACAGGACCAGCTTCATCCAGTTTCCCTGTGATATCCCCCTCCACATTCCCGAAGACCATTCTTAGGTCCCATTAAACCTCCTTATCCCAGTAAATCTGGCTGTTACTTCCACCTAAAGTTACCTTTCTGTGGTAAACTTCCCTTAAAAAGTCCTCCACAAACAGCCGTTCTTGAATGGAGGGCTAGCTGACTAGGTGTTTGTTTTTTCTTCTTCTTCGGTCATTCTTGATCCTCACAGGATTCCAGAGCTTCAGAACTGGAAGTGCCCTCTGAGCTCAGATGGCCCGAACCCCCTCATCTTGGAGATGGAGAACGTAAGGCCCAGCCCAGGAACAGCCTGGCTCCTGGCTGGTCGTGGGGTTAGTTACAAAAATGGCGTAGTGGGGCCCATGCCCAGGTGTCCTACTGAGACAGTGCTCTTTCTCCATCCACCCTCTCCCCATACCACACAGCCCATGGCTCGACTGGTCTACACCTCTCTTCTATCCTTAGAGAATAACAATAATAGCTCATGTTTCTCCAGAACTCTGGTTTCCTCCTGCAATGTTGTTCTGTTCTTCTCTGAGGACATTTTCTGAGAAGGGAAACTCTCTGTAGGTTTCTTTTCTTTTTCTTTCTCTTTTTTCTTTTAAACTAAATATTATCTTTTGCTCTACACCAGCCTCTGTGCTAAAGGCTTTCCACCCAGGATTTCATGAACACTCACAACCCTTTTGGGAGGTATTGTTATAATCATTCTTTTTTTAAAATATTTATTTATTTAATATTTATTCATTTGACAGAGATCACAATTAGGCAGAGAGGCAGGCAGAGAGAGGGGGAAAGCAGGCTCCCCGCTGGGCAGGGAGCCTGACGTGGGGCTCGATCCCAGAACCCTGAGATCATGACCTGAGCTGAAGGCAGAGGCTTAACCCACTGAGCCACCCAGGCGCCCCTGTTTTAATCATTCTTGTGGAGACGCTGGAAAGCCCAAGTTCAGAGAGGTTGGATAAGTGGCCCAAGTTCACACAGCCAGAGAATGGTGGAGCCGGAATAAGAATCCAGGCAGGGTGACTCCAGAGGCTGGACCCTCACATGACAAGCCAGTCATAACTTTGGGTGTGGCACCTGCTGCCAGCCAGGGCAGAGTGCTCTGTGGGAGCCTTTGTGTCTTTGGCCATTTTGGTTACTTTCCTCACCTTCATTTTCATAGCGGGTAGACCTGACAAGGAGCCTATTGGTCCCCAGGCTTTTTCCAGGAGGCTCCTGACACACAGGTTGACATGCTTAGCAACAACTGACCTTGACACTCTGGCCACAGGTGATGTAATTCAGAATGGTAGCTTGACCCAAAGACTGCCATCTGTGGGCTGGCTGGCAGCTTTGGTGTGACTGCTCTGACTGGCATGCTGGGGGTTCACCAAACCTGTCAGACCTTGTCTCTTGGAGAGCAGTAAGACAATGGTGCTCATAGTCTGAGGAGGAAGGGACAGATGCCCACAGCTTGAGGACACAGGAAATAATCTGGTCACTCAGCATGAGAAACTGTCCAGTGAACAATATTCTGGCCTCCATGGGGTTTGTCTCTGTGGCTCAGGTGGTTTCTTATCTTCCTTTCTGTGAATTCTTAAAATAAACCTCTGGTAAATGAGTATCACGAGTGGGTCTCTGACTGTGCTCCCAGGAACGGGCAAGTAACCGTCCTCGGTCTGGATCCCTTCAGGTGCTTCTGTTGGCTTAGGTGGTCACGCTCCTGGTACCAAGCACCCACGGCAGCCAGGACTCCTGCTATCATCCATTTCACCAGCCCCTGGCTAGACCTGACACCCATTTTCCAGAGGAAGGCCTAGGAAACATCTGGGTTGATTTCTGAGCCCCCCCCCCAAATCTGGAGAATCAGAATTTCTATGGGTGACACTAGGGATGGAATGTACCCAGATTCCTTGGGTGGTTTTATTTCCAAGTGATTTTTATGGATCCTGAGGTCTGAAAACTATGGCCACAGACAGCTGCTTTTGGGTCAGACACTCATCTCTGGTTCTATCGAATGTAGATACCATGCATTCCACAGAGAATGAACGTGTGTTCCCTCAGGGAATTGGAGACGGGGAGCACTGGGTCACAGCAGCCAACACCTGCCGATATGTTTTAGGAACTGATTACACCTGATATTGCAAAATACCATCCATGAAATTAATTTGTAGATTGCAGAAGTATTTTTTTTTAGAGATTTTGAATGATGTGCCCATCTCATGATCAGAAGGTCTCACATACACACAAAAGCTGATTTCTGGCTTTCCTAAAAAATCTGGAAGATCTAGTAGCACTTCCAGCTACTTTGTTCTGTTTGGCAACAACTGACTATTACTGAAAAGCAGATGCCACCTTTAGACGGGGCCTGGGTGCCCCTCTTACTACAGGATCCCCCTTGCCTCTAGCCTCTCCAGATTTGATACTGTATGAGTGGCTCCAGAAAAATGGGAGTGAGCATGTTTCTTGGTGGATATAAAGAATATTCCTTCGTGTTTCATAGGTGAACTTTGTGATTGTCTTGACAACACAACTCAAGATGGCTCACTTTACTCATGTGTGCCTGATCCTAAAGACATTTGAGCTGGGACCCAGGACACTGACTCCCAGATCCCTCCATGCAGCTACAAACAGAAGCTTAGGGGACACCATAAGACCAGAGACTAGTAGCGTCCAATTACAGAGTGCCCGATCAGTGCCCGCACAGATGGAGAGATGGCAGCTGGGAAAGAGGAAGAGCCACTCTCGCGGTGACCCAGGGAGCAGGGAGTGGCCAGAGTGGCAGCCAGTCCTCCTCCAGAGCATCAAGCACCCTCCCCCCTCCACCTACAGCCCGCCCTATTCCCTTCAATTTCTCTTACAGCTGATCATACCATTTTTTCCCTGGGTGTTGACCATATTCCAAGCATAGTGCTAACAAAAATGTCTGACAAACAATGTCTGATTTAATCATTATTTCTGTTTGACAACTCAGAACACTGAGGTTAACATTTACTCTGCTTATTCGTGGAAGAGGAGGGACGTGAATCCAGGTGTGGGTGCCGTCAGGCCTTCCGCCCTGTGCGACCTCATACTGGAAACCATCAACCCTTCCAGGGAGACACCGCGCTATTCCCGTTTTATAGATGGTGTGATCAAGAGGTTAAGTGGCTTGTCCAGGTTCACGTAGCGGGTCATTGATACAGTTCGGACTGAAGCCTAGGTCTGAATCCAGGGCTCCTAATGTGTGCCATCTTCTCTGCTCTTCTCCCCTAGAGCCCAGACTCTCCAGAGCCCAACCTAGAACCCAGGGCCCCGATTGCTTTCTGGACATCACCCTTTTTCTCTCTGATACACGATGCTGCTTCCCTCCTATTCCAACTTCTTGTGTCAAATGCTGGGACCTGCTGCAATGTCCTTCTGTTGTCTTGACCTCACTTTGTGAAACAAGATGGCAGCAGCCTTGTGCCTTTGTTTCACTTTGTGAGAGATGAGGCAACCAGCCCTGATCACTCAGGATCCCGACGTCCCAGGAAGAGTGGCCCCTGTCAGGGCTTTGCCACCATGCTCCGAAGAAGCCTCAGGTTTCCTGCAGCCACTTCTGAGATTTTGAGAATAATAACATCTTTGCCACCAAAGAATAAAGATTCAGTCTAACGAACATGTTAATCACTCCTCCAAAAATATATGTTATGCGTTGAGGTTTAGACGTCATTTAAAGAAAGCATTCTGCTGCTAAAGAAGATAGTGGGGAACCTCATTTTCTAAAATGTCACAGGTCATTGAGCTACAGAATACATCTGCTCAGGGCTAGTAAGTCATCGTGGATCAAGGTCAAATATCCCAGCAAAGCAGAGGAAACCATCTTCACCTTAGGATACCAAGTCCCTCACTGAACGGTGATCCTGCCTGCCCAGCATCCCCTCCTCGGTCTGCTGGGACAACGCAAGGTTTCCCTTATCCCTACTGGGCAAGCATTGACCTGCCCCTCTTCGAATCTGAGCCCTGGAATGACCAGCTAGCCCTTGGCAAGAGGGTCTGAGTTTGCTGGTGGCTCTTACTACTCAGGCTGGCCTATAGGATTCTTTGCATTTCCACTCTGGGTTCGAGAACCCAGAGACCTAGCTACAGAGTCTAGCCTCGGAATTTGGATGCCGGGGTCCCAGGGAGGGGGTGCTGTGAAGTCATCTGGAAATTCAGCTCTGGCTGATGTTTCCTCCTCTGTGAGTACAAGGGATTAGGAAGGTCCGTTCACACAGGAACAAACTCAAGGAAAGCAAACAGATGAAGCAGAAGAACAGAACAGAAGACCTGTTCTCCTCTGTCTCCTCAGAGCCTCCCTAGAGAGAGCAGGCCCACGTGCATACACACACAGGATCAGATTTAGACTCAGCTCAGTGTAGTTCTTAGTAAAGTGGTTTAACTGGTCAGGTCAGAGAGCCTGCTTGTCAGCCTCTCTCCAACCAGATTACTGCCTCTCCTGCTTGTCTTTTACTACTCCAAAGCACTACTACTGTAGGTAAACAACCCCAGGGTTCCATTCCCTGCAGCCCTGCAGCCAGAACTGGCCTCCCTGGAAGCTGGCCCAGCCATGCACCCCTCCCGGGGCTCATCTCAATACCGTCAAAACCAGACTCCATATTGTCAGGTACTCAAGATCTTGGAAGTGTAGAGCTGGGTAGGGTTGAGCCATCCTCTTGGAGCCTGTCGATTTTACACGTGGGAGAGGCAGGCGCCCAATTTCTCAGGATGGGGAAGACGTGGCACCTCTATCTTCTAAGGAGGCGTGCAGGATCTCTGCACCAAGCCGGAAGCCTGTCCTAATTCAGATTGCACAATGGCAGCCCTTGAGTGGCCTTGACCCATAGGCATGTTTTGTTCGGTCCATGCAGTGTGGGATGCCACACATTGTTTTGTCATTTAAATTTAAATTGTTTAATGGGAAATCTCAGCCCCCGCCCCAAAATTTAGATTTCTGACTTCTATTAAAAACGTGCCCATCTGGCAACCTAGATCGCCATTCCCACATGGCAGGAATCTACTGAAGGTGGAAAAAGGTGTTCTTTTTATGCTTCATTCATTTCTCTTTCCAGTTGAGCACCTGCGGGCATTTGTATCTGCAACCTCTGTCTGAATTAAAATAATTAAAGAATATTGATAATTGTGGATGTGGAGTGAGTATCCCACTGCCGATAGATGCCATGTGAGGAACTTCCCATATGTATGCTTTTCATTTCTCACCAAGCCCCGTGAGGTCGATTTATTGTCATTCCCATTTTACAGATGGGAAGTAGAGGCTCATGCGAGTTCAGAGATTTGTCCAAGGTCGCACACGTAAGAAGGAGCCAAGCCAGGGTTAGAAGTCAGATTTTCCCATCTCTAGAAACTATGTTGATTCCAAGGTGTGGGTAGATTCTGTTCCTGGAGAGAACTTCTATGAAAGCAAGCTCAGAATTTCTCCAGCCCTTTTCTATACTTTTGGAGTTTTAGTCTCAGTTTCGAGTAGCCAGAGGGACTTTGCTGCTTGTGTATCAGCAGATATTCACCAAACAAGGAATGTAACAGACCAGAGTGGACTTTGCTTTAGTCTCCTTTCCAGACTCTTAATCCCATCTGTCCCTCCTGACTTCTCTGCTCATTCCGCAGTGGCTATCCTTCCCTAAGTGCCAGGTGGGCTCTGAGACTTCATCACCGACTCTCCCCTTTCTTGATCATTGTTTTCAATCAACATCTAACCATACATTGAATCCTGTTCATACGTTCTCCACATTTCCGGTTACAGACCTTTGCTTTCGGTATTCCTCCCACCTCAAATCCACTCTCCGAGGCATTGCCATATTAATCTTCTTAAAGCATTGGTTAAATCCCATCACCCCCTCATCATACTGGCCATCCATTGCCTGACGGAAGCAGGCTCTCCTTCTTTGGCACAACCTTTGAGATGCTCT